AGAGAGAGAGAGAGAGAGAGAGAGAGAGAGAGAGAGAGAGAGAGAGAGAGAGAGAGCACTTTGTCTGTGTGTGTGTGCTTGGTGCTGTGTGCTTTTATACAGACAGCATGGCTGTCTGGACTGTACAGCTGGGTGATTTTCGGTTTTGTTCTCCCCCGCTCTTTAACGAGATCGGGCGCAGCGGACAGAAAACGGGGTGGGTCGGACAGCGGGACAACAAATTCGGGAGCGGTCGGGTTCGGGCTAAAACCTGGAAGGTGCGGGCGGGAGCGAGATTCAAAATTTAGTCCCGCGCAGATCTCTACTCCACACAGAAATGCCAAACGACCCAGTCTGGGCTCGAACCAGCAACCCCCTGTAACAATTGACTAACATAGTATTTTTCTTTCCTATAACGGAATTCAATGGTTACAGGTTTTTCAAAATATCTTTTTTTTTTTTGTGTTCAACAATGAAAATGAAACTCATAAAGTATGGAGTCACATGATAGTGAGTAAATGGTGAGTACATTTACATTTTTGTTAACTATCCCTTTAAGATTTTAACCCTCGTGTATTGTTCAAATGTACTACACTTTCGTTATGTTTGGGGCTGTTTTTGCCCCATTGATTTACAATATAGTGACATTTTTTGATTGCAAAGCCATCCCAGCAGGCACACAACATCATAAGACATTAATATTAGGTTAGATTTAGATCATGATGCCAGGTTACCAAAATTCAATGTATAGCCAGCGTCTAAGGACAACGTTATTTTGACGTCCATTAACGAGGTCAAATTACGCTGATATTTGGTTGATTTTAGGTTGTGTTGGAAAGTGACCAAGCTCCAACATCTGATAGCTGTCATAGTGGTAACGTCCACACAACGTCACAACATCAAGGTAAAACATGATTAGACATTGATATTAGGTTGATTTTAGGTTGGACATTGACGTCGGCCTGGCTATGGGTTCTGACATTAACCCGATGATTTCAAACAAAATCCAACGTCCCTATAATGTTGGGGTACAACGTCAATATGACGTCATGTTGACGTTCTGTGCCTGCAGAGATGACACCATATAATCCTGCACTCTTAATTACTGGTGGTTTTCCCTGTTGGGAAGCAAGGTTATTATAGTTAACTAAAACGAACAAAAAAACTAAAACTAAAATGTAAAATAATTGTCGTTAACTGAAAAAAAAAATAAAAACGAGAGTTTTTCGAAAAACTACAACTGAAACTGTATTGTGTTCATAAAAAAGCTAACTGAAACTAACTAAAATTTTCGCAAAAACCTCCTTCGTTTTCGTATTTGTAAATGTATTTAATACATAATCTTACTATAAGCCTTTTAGAAGTAAATATAATTCGTGCTGCAGGTGTTTGACCAGTACGGCACCTCAGAGTCTGTAGTCCCTGTTGCCATTGGCCAGATAGAGCCAGTTCTCCTACAGTCATCCTCACTGTTGGTCCCGCGAAAAAAAACAACAACTGAACATGACAGCAGCACGGTGACAGCTTTAAAAACAAACACTTAAAACTATTACTTTAACACATTTGTGCCCAATAATGGGTTTTATTTCTGTATCGCGATCGCGAACTAATCTTTTTAACCAGATCTTCTAGGTGAACTGGTTGTACTAGTTCAGCAAATAGAACTAAATCATTTAAAACTATTTGCTTCTCCAGCTTCTCGCATCAAATTCACTTCATTCGCGTGTCAAATTCACTTCATTCGCAGATCAAATTCACTTCAGAACAGACGCGGGTTCGCGTGATGGGCAGGGCTTTTGTCTGTCCGGTGACTGTAGCTTCATTGCTAAATGGCTAACATGGATTTTATGAAGAAAATAACAGTGTTTATGTACTTTATGCAGGCTAAAAAAAAAACAGCGTCGATATGTTTAGGACCGTGTCTGAGTCCACTACATGCTTTCAGAGGTACATCCAGCTGTGTGAGCTCAAACTTCTCCAGAAACTTAACCTGGATCACGGAGGCTTTCAGCTGTGCTTCTGACAGAGCCAAGCCCAGTTTGATGACTTGTTGTCGGTGTTGCCTGGAGGATTTCCTCCGGGACACCTTCAACAGGTTGTACGTCACAATCATGCCCCCACAAGAGCAAGTTTCTGATTGGTTAACCTGGCGCGAATGTCCGCTGAAGTTCAGATTTTCGAACTCGAGAGATTTGCGCGAAACGCACGTTAAGCGTGTCAAACGCGCAAAACGTTCAATTCGCACCGCGCCATACGCGAAATTCGTGTCATTCGCACCGCACCATTTGGGCGTTTCGTGCCGCAGGATGTCTCTCTAAATCACTCGCGTTTGACGCGCGTTCCGCGTCCTGTGTGAAGGCAGCATAATACTCCCCTCTGAGTCTAAATAATCCAATATATACACTCATTCAGTTATTTGAATAGTAACGTTACATTGAGAAGCGGTGAACCATTAATACTGCACATGCGTGATTCAGTAAAACAAACCCGATAAGTAGCCTGCTGTGTGACTAAACTAAACTTGAACAACTGCAGCGTGGGTAAACCAAGGGCTTAAATGAGAGGATCTGATGAAAAACGCAAGTTTATTATTTCATAACAGTCAATCGTAATGGAGTTTAAATAAGTGAATCATGATTCAGTTGGGTTGCAAAACTTACTACTGTAAGACTTACTACTGTAGGACATTTTTCAGATCATGGTGATGTTTTAACTGACTGGAATGACTAATGCTGACAACATAATGTTAATTCCTCCCATCCATGATAGAAATCTGAACTTCCCATCACTACTGTGTGTCTAACCTCAGAAGCAGCCTTGCACACACATTGTACTTGGGGCTGCTATCTTGTGGGCTGTTGTATTTGAAATTGAGGATGGGTAGATGGTTGTGGTAGATGATAGTGTTCATGTGTCCTCTAAATACATGTTTCAAAAAATGTATGACTGAGTTTTTATTATACAATATTTATCCTGTTGATTTTGAATCTTGCACCTAACAAATATCCTCATTTAGAAAAAAAAACTAATACTGAAACTAATAAAAACTAAACTAAAACCAAGTCATTTCAAAATATAGAAACTAATAAAAACTAGTAAATCTGCCTCTAAAACTAATTAAAACTAACTGAATTTGAAAACAAAAAGACAAAACGAAACAGAAACTAAAACCAATGAAAAATCCAAAACTTATAATCGTGTTGGGAAGAGGTAAACTGTCAATTTTACTGAATGTTATTATTATGGAAGTCAATGAGGCAAAAACAGCCACCAACATAACAGAAGGGTAGTCAATTTACACAGAGTGTATTATTGAATTTTTGAAGATCCTTCCATTTACAGAAACACAGAGAAAGTTGTGGCCAAATAAAACTTAAAATCCCCCCAGAGAGGTTGAAAACATCCCCAAACAGCAAACAAGGCGTAATATACCTTTTAAAATGATATCCATAAGATATCACTGCAGCTTCTGCCTACATTCCAATATAAATACTCAGATGATAATAATAATAAAACGACCCCACCGCCGGCACTGACCTCCTCCGCAGTGCACGCTGCAGTCCTCCCAGCTGCTGTGGGTCCACAGGTACATGTGCTCGGGCTCCTTCACCAGATCACTGCTGTTCTCCTGAGAGTGGTTCAGAGCCACTGTATACTCATAGTGGATCCCATACGTCTGATCATGGAACAGCAGAACCTGCAAAACCAACAAAAGTCAGTCAAGAGCTTAGAGATCAAGCATTTAGTTCATAGAAGCAGGCTCCAGTCTGTGAGTAAATTGTTGCAATTTTTTTTTTGACTGCTAATGCTACTACATTCTGTGAGAGGTCACACTGCTGCCACTATTGTGTTATTGATGACATTGAGAGGCTGTTTACATCTGGTCACTTTATGCAGTTTTTTTGTTTTTGAGACTGCAACGCACAGCTAATCAGGTTGTGAAAAGGACAGGTGTAAGTGCGCTCTGAAATGCATTCAAGGCGGATATGAATCCAATCGCTCAGACCACTTCAGGGGTTGTTCTGTGACACATTCCAGGCTAAACTAAACACGTCTAAATGCATCTACTTGTGTGGTTTCAGCAACCAGATTTGACTCCTCCTAGAATGTGAACAAATAAACATGAGCTTGTTATAGGCTAAATGGACGTTATAGTCTATAGGTTCAAGGTGAATGGGTACCTTGGCTCTGAAGTTCAAACAACAACAAAAAAATAAGGTCAAGAATCTTGGAGTGACTCTGGAGTCAGATCTGAGTTTTAATAGTCATGTCAAAGCAGTAATTAAATCAGCATACTATCATCTCAAAAACATAGTAAGAATTAGATGCTTTGTTTCCAGTGAAGACTTAGAGAAACTTGTTCATGCTTTTATCAGCAGCAGGGTGGATTACTTTAATGGCCTCCTCACTGGCCTTCATAAAAAGACAGTCGGACAGTTACAGCTCATCCAAAACACTGCGGCCAGGATTCTGACCAGAAGGAGGAAATCAGAGCACATCACACCTGTCCTCAGGTCTTTACACTGGCTCCCAGTTACATTCAGAACAGATTTTCAAATATTATCACTGGTCTATAAATCACAAAATGGCCTTTGACCTCAATACATTACAGCTATGCTCACTGAATACAAACCCAACAGATCACTCAGATCTTTAGGATCAAGTAAATTAGAAATTCCAAGAGTTCAGTCAAAGAGGGGTGAATCTGCTTTCAGCTACTAAAAGTGCCCCTTGAAAATAATTTCTGGAATCAGCTTCCACAAATGTTCAGATGTGCTCCAACATTAGGCACATTCAAATCAAGGCTGAATTTAGTTCAACTTTAGCTGTGCCTTTACTGAATGAGCACTGTGCTACGTCCGACAGATCTCACTATTGTCTTTCTCTTCTTTTATAACATGTTTTAACACATTTTAATCTGTTTTTTTTTATTATCGTATTATACTTGGCTCTTTTATTCCTGTCTATGTAAAGCACTTCGAATTATCACGATGTATGAAATGTGCTATATAAATAATCTTCCCTTGCCTATAGACTTAGAATATATAGCTAATCCAAAGGCAGTGACAATGCTACAGAAAACGCTTGGTTCATTTAATTTTTCCATTACATTCTATTTTTGATCGGCCATTACCCATAAAATCATGAAATTACAATGATAATGTAATATCAGACACACACACACACACACACACACACACACACACACACACACACACACTTCCCATAAATAAAGATAATGCTTATTTTGTACAGACTGTAAAGTCTCTCTCTTCTCCAGCCTCATCCCTAAACCCAACCTTCACAGGAAACGATCTGCATTTTTACAATTTTAAAATACTTAATTCTGTGTGACTTATGAGCGGTTTTCTTCTTGGGGACCAAGAAGACCTTATTTTTTTTGCTATTGACCTTATTTTAAAATGCGGAAGTGCGCCTGTTTTCGCGATTGTCTTAGAACTTCCGATTCAGTCGCCTATGGGAGAAATGACTAGGAATAATAAACGGCAGAAAACAGTCAAACTACTTGCTCTACAAACAAATGTTTGCATGACTATACAGACCAAGTAGAATAATATAGCAAGAAAATATCAAATTGCAACATCAAGCAGCGAAACGAGCAGTTTTTAACGTCAAAAAAATGAATGGAAGTGAATGAGACCGGAAGTCTCCAGCCAAAAAGATTCAAATGGCTGCGCCCGCTCGTCGGCGGAGAATAAGGGGAATAGTTCTGGAGAAATTTGCTCTCACACACACACACAAAAACCAGAGGGACCAACAGTATCAACGCAAACCAACATAAGACACAGGTGTACATAATCAATGAGTAACCATGGAAACCAAACTAGAAACTACATAATAAATTCATTTTGAAAAGCATAAGGCGCATACGGAAAAAGCCAAATTGTGTGTGATTTCTGAACCGTCTTCCTCATGGGGACCAAAAAAGAAAATGATCCCTTTGGGTTAAAAATGAACTGGTATTGCTATACCTGTAAGGACACACGCCATCATGATTTTGCCAATTAAGATGCCATCCTGGATTAACATCTATGTTGATCCTGGAACATTCCTTTTGTTCCAAAATGTAATCCATACCCATTCCCTATCCCTGTAAATTATTCCCAAAATCAGAGGGGAATAACAGTTGGATAACAATCATGTAGAAGTATTAACCGTAAACCGTAACGTTGAACATCTGTCACAGTGTAGAAGTGAAAAAAGACACTGTGACATACATATATTACACTCACACATAAAATGCATACACTACTAAACATGGTCCGATTGCCTGCAAACGAAATGTATGCACGGATCGTTGTAGTGTTATCAGTGTATTGTGCATTTGTGTGCCCATATCATCTTCCCATACACACTGAAATAACCTCAGACACGTTCTTTTCAACCCTTATTTAATAGCAAAACATAGAAGGATTACATAGACTTACCGGTTTCCATTCCTCAGCACCAAACCAGTTCAGAATTCAAACAATGACATTTATACAGTCTTTTCCCGCCTTCACTTCAGAGCGGCCATTTTAGATGACATCATCAGGGTCACGACCCCCTGGTCAGTGATGAAAAATCACTGTTCGGTTGTTTATATTTGCATTGGTTGTTTGTTGTGTTGTATTTTGAGGTTTGTATGTATAGTTATTTACTTATATTAATTTATACTTTTGTTTAATGCCTTTTTATTATTATTTTTTTTGTCTACATGTTACCCAACAAACTGTAAAATGGTATAACCCTTGGGCAGAGCTAATAATATAAAACGGCCCCAAACCTTCACACGACTAGTGGTGGGCAAAGCGAGGCTTCGTGAAACACTGAAACAGTCGAAGCAAATGTGTCGAAGCTTTGAAACATTGTGAAACCCCACTCTACGGTGACACCTAGTGGTCATTTAATTTGTATTGCACTGAAACAGCTTCAGTAAAGAACAGTTGAGCAAATTGAGGTATGAAATCCCACTTCGTAGCCTTGAACCTACAAGTGGTTTAGTCAAGTGGTTGAAGTTTGTGACCACCAAGGTTAAAACAATTATTTTGAAATGCTTTAATATCAGTTGTTAATGCTTTGTTCTTGTATCGTTTTGTTTCAACATTACCCTAAACCCAACCGTCACAGGTCTGTAAAAATATTAATTATTGTTAGGTGTACATAATCAATAAGTAACCATGGAAACCAAACTAGAAACTATTTAATAAATTCATTTCAAGGCACATCTTTAAAAACAATAACAAAGCAAATTCTGTTAACTAGATGTATCAGAAGGTATTGCCTATGTTTGGTCATCCAGATCATCTCCAGCGGCTTGTGAACAAGCGTTTGGTCAGATTTTGAGTGGCTACCAAAATGCCGTGAGGAAACAGTGATCGCTTCCATTCATTTCCCATAATCATTTCCAGGGACAGGACGAGACTCTGGCCTCCAGCACAACCTTTACTTGATCACAAGATCCATCTCATGAGAGCCATTTCCCTCACTTACTGTGCAGAGCGTGGAGGTTAACAGGCCCTCCAAAAGAGCCGTCTCGCCATCAGCCTGTCAGTAATGACCTGAATGAAACACACTAAACACGGAGGGGCACGACCAAACGGAGAAACAGACAATCTAAACGCTCAACAACAGCAGATGTAGCAAATATACCGCTATCAACCTCATCAAAAGTTTTCCAAGGTTAAGGTCACCCTAAAACCGAAGTAAAGCAATGAAAATAAAACTTTTTTAAAACTATATTTTTTTGAATGTGATGATACTTTGAATTCAGTAGTATTATTATCATCATATACACTCAGAAAATTAAGTTTGCTTTTGGTTCAAACTACTTATTTTAAAAGAGCTGAAAAAACACAATTTGCGATTTTTTTCAACCCAGGCTCATTCTGATTACGTACCCCTGTATACATTTCTGGAGAGCAGCAAATTTGTCCACGAAACTGCTTTTTTTTGCAGTTTTTGTTTTCACTAATCCACCAGAGGCCGCTGTGTACGCTTTTTGATTTCTCAAATTTTTCTCACGAGTGCCATTCGTGCCTGCTCTTTACACGTAAATCCACCAGAGGCCACTGTTGTCTGGCTGACTGACTGACCAATCGACTGACCCATCATCCTCCTTCCTTAAACCCAACCAATAGTGTTTTCAAAAGCACCTATTGACCTGCCCACTCACTTCCCTGAACCCAATTGACAGTTTTAAAATGCAATCCAGAAAATATAAAGCCCTTGTCTGATATTTACCATGTTTTCAGATTTTACCCCATTTTTACCCCATTTTTTACTGGTTTATTTCTGTTTTTGGCTCTTGTTTTACCCACTTTATAGAACCGACTCTAACCCCGTAGTCATGGTTAACTCCTCTCTGTGTCTCAAGCCCACTGATGAACAGAGCAAGCTACTGGACAAGCTGTTAACAGTGGGAAAGCCGTCCACATGGAGGTAAGTAGTCAACTGGTAAACTCAAAAAGGAATGGGAAATGCAACCATACGTACTCCTGGCTACATAATAGGGCTACGTTTCCAGAATGAGCCTATGTTGGATTTTTTGGGGGGGTACAACTTAATTTTAGTTTTATGTTTAATCCACTTAAACTTCATTTTTTGTACAACACAGATTTAAAGAACATACAGTTGAAGTCAGAATTATTAGCCCCCCTTTGAATTTATTTTTCTTTTTTAAATATTTCCCAAATG